ATGCTTGACTGAGTTGGAACTGATGCTGAGGTTCCAGCCAGTCCTAGCAAAAGAAAATCTTTTGTTTTAGTTTCAATAACATGGGCAAAACAGAAAGCTGCCAACCTTTCCCATATAGCCATTCTGCTTTACCTTCCACACACCTTCACCATCCACCATCATTTTCATGCAACAGACTGAACCCACATATAGGACTATAAAGGTGCCAAAAATGTTACAAATAAAAAGAAAAAACAATCTTATCTATGTATCTTATGTCACTGCAGCACCCAGACATCACCGTGGTGAGAAGCACTTCTATCACACAAGCTGAACCAGCAGGCCCAGCTAACCTACTGATGTCAGTAACAAGGCTTCACTATATAATTCACTTGCTGCTCCACAGATCTGCATCACCACTAAAAGTCAACCACCTCTGGACTGGAAGTCATCAAGTGACTCATGTCTTGCTGCACAACAGTTGCTGTGGAACATAATTATAGTCAAGAACTCTGAAACAAACCACGACTCTTAGGAAAAAGCATAGTGGTGCTTTAATGTCCTCACAGAGCAGACAGGGACTGGGAGTCCAGCCCTGCAAGCCTGACTAAGCATATTGGTAAGGCTGTGAGCCACACCATGAGGCTTCCTGGCTTGGTGCAGGCAGAAAGTATGACAGTGAGTTGTGAGGAGCTGAATTCACACTTAGAGCATGGCCCGTTGGCACTGTGGGGCCATAGGTACAACTGTAATTCACACACACTTGGAAGGTCCTTTCCTTTTGCCAGACTGGTAACAGGATAAACAGGACTCAGGATCCAGGGCTTGAAAGAATGAACCATTGTTTTTCTTAAGACCATGTTTTAAAAAAAATAATAATAATCCCCCTATGTTTTTCTCCTGTGCTTTGCATGCTAGTCAGAATGCACTTTCCTGGGAAATGCATTACAGTAACAGGCAATGTTTAGCATCACATTTGAAGTGAGCACATCCCAGTGATTAAAATCCAGGCAACAGAAATAAACACATCAGCAGGACATGCTGCATAGTACTGAACTGGGACTTCTTGGGTTTATGGCTTTCTTGAACGTTAAATACTGTGTGAGAAAAACACTGCTCAAACTTAACCATCTGTATTTGGTTTCTTTTGAGTGCATTACAATCACCAGTAATCAATTTAAGCCTAAAATCAGAAAACCTGCTTGCACTTGTGGGAGACTAATTGTGGCAGTAAAAGGTGGCTTATATAGCAATAGAATTGTTTCATTCATTTTTTTTAAGTGAACTTATTAGAAACTTGTTTTTAAAGGGGGCTACTCCATGTTAAAATGCCACAGTTCATTATGCAAAGCTAAGAGAAACCTGTTCCCCTGTAAAGAGTTTTCTAGATATCAGTTTTGTTTTCCACACTTCAAAGTGGGAGGAAAGGTTTAAATTATTAACATTTTCAAAGCTAAAGACCTAGAGCAAAGCAAAAAAAAAAAAAAAAAAAGAAATTGAGTCCAAGGCCAACATTTGGCTTTGACAATTTCAAAATATCAATGTGACTTCTTAATAGGTTAAGTTTAATTTTCAAAACAAAAAGTAATTTTGAATGAGAAAGCTATTCTGACAGTTCCAAAACTTTATTTCCCTAATAGTTTTCAACTCAAGATATTTGTGAATCCCAACCCTTTCCCACAAACAGTCTCAATTTCTGTGAATCAGCATGTTCTGTCTTTGAGCACTTTATTACCAGCCCGACACAAAGGGGACCACCTCACAAGATCTCTTCTCCAAGAGCCTGTTGTTCTCGCACTCTCCTGGGAGCTGCCACTGCAGCAAGGGTGCTGGCTTTGGCTTCTGCCCCTCACTGAGCGATGACATCCTGCTGCCAGTTGTGGCTCTCAGCAGAAGTCTTCTGTCTGTCTCTCCAGCCAAATGCCAGAAGAAATCAGAGGGAAGAGCACAAAGAGTAATAGAAATGCTGCACCTGCAAGCATCACCTTATAACTACATCTGGGGTAAACTTCAGACTCCTAGAGTTCACATGGAGAAGATCAGCATGAAGAGGAAGAAGCTGGCCATGCCATCTGCAGCGACTTGATATCTCACAGCCCCCTGTATGGGAGTGCAGTAGTAGCCACCAAGACACCTGGTGGTGCCACAATTATATTTTAATTGTCCATACTGAGAAGCACTGAAATGGTCTCACTCATCATTCGTCTCACCTCACCAATCAATGTAACTCTGGCTTCCAGCTCATTCTCTGGCCATGTCTGGCCAAGTCCATAGTCACAGGGTGTCTGTTACCCCAGATATGTCACCTTGTGGCTCCCCAGCCTTAGCCTCAGCACAGACCCCTCAGCAGTCCTGCTTACAGCATCCCAGGGATCTTCTCATTCTCCCAGTTCCTTATTCCCCATACCAGCATTAGCAGCTGCTCTCATTGGTCTTGAGCTCTACTCGTGGAAATCCCATCCCAACCACAGAGTCTGCAAAAAACTGCCTTAATCCATGGTTAAACTTCCTTCTCTACACATTAGATCTACTTGTGTGCTGATCAAGCGACTAGCTGGTTGGACATGCAAGTGTCATTCTGCAGTTTTAGCAGGTGAACCAGTTGAGGCTATACAAAGCAAAAGGCAAGCAGGAGATAGACACCTGTGTACCAAACAGGATAAAATCAGAACTTAGTTTCTAAACTGCATGCAGAAAGACTGCCCACACCATCCTCCTCTTCCTTTCTCTAGCACTGTCAGCATTATGGGTTTTCTGTGTGACTTGGGTGATGAAAGCCATCCAACCTTTGGCCTTATGCCTTAGAACTCCACCCAAGGCATGTTGTAATTCCCTAGAAATGCACTGTTTGTCCTGCTTTTATTGTTTAATTACACTCTGGATTTATTTTGATACGTGTCTGTTTCTTGACTAGCTACGTGTGAGGGTTTATGCCCCTGAAGTAAAGACTGGAGCACAACCTGCCCTGCAACGTTGCTGTTACCAGAATTGCGGTGATCAGCACCTGTCCTCTTCTATTTGATAGCCTTGCTAAGGAGAAAGCTAAGGTCCTACCACTAAAGAGAAGCGAGTCCCTACCAATTTGGCAGAACAAAGTCTACTTTGTTCATACCTCAGACTGGACAACATTATCACATCACACTGTACAACCCCAGAGTCCCAAGTATGAGTTATCCTTTACAACACCTTGATAATTGTTTAAACAAAAAGAAGTGAACAGCGGAAGCAACTGAGCACTTCTTGGAAATGCTATCCTTTTGATGGAAGCAGGGAGTATTTTCCTTCATAGATATTTATTCTAAGAAGTGACATCAGCAGACACCAAAATGAATGAACACATCTAAGATATTAATCAGAAAAAAAGAGGGGGAAAAAACGACAAAAAAAAGATGACTGATTTGGTCAGTCATTCCAGGTCTAGACCTCACTTAAGAGTATTGTGTGCAGTTCTGGTGTCCTCAACATAAAAAGGACATGGAACTGTTGAAACAAGTCCAGAGAAGGGCGACGAGGACGATCAGGAGGGGACTGAAGCACCTCCCATATGAAGATAGGCTGAAAAAGTTGGGGCTGTTCAGCCTGGAGAAGAGAAAGCTTCCAGTATCTGAAGGGGGCCTATAGGGATGCTGGGGAGGGACTCTTCATTAGGGACTGTAGTGACAGGACAAGGGGTAACGGGTTAAAACTTAAACAGGGGAAGTTGAGATTGGATATAAGGAGGACATTATTTCCTGTTAGGGTGGTGAGGCACTGGAATGGGTTGCCCAGGGAGGTTGTGAATGCTCCATCCCTGGAGGTGTTCAAGGCCAGGATGGACAGAGCCTTGGGTGACATGGTTTAGTGTGAGGTGTCCCTGCCCATGGCAGGGGGGTTGGAACTGAATCATCTTAAGGTCCTTTCCAATCCTAACTATTCTATGATTCTATGAAGTTTGCACTTTACAGTCCTTAGAACAGAGTAAAATCAGAGCAGCCTCATTTCTCAAGGCTTGGCATAGCTGAGCACACACAGAAATCTGTGGTGAATCTAGACAAGGCTGACAAGGTAGTATCCAATAGGAGGATAATTATTTCCGTATCAAGAATTCCAAGGTCACTATTCATATAAATTTCCAGGCAATTCAGTTGAGCAAAAGCTTGAAGAATTCCCCCCAAAATACGAAAGTATCATAAGGGTATTTACAGTAAATTGCAAAATATAATCAAAGCTGTATGGTATCTTCTAGAATCACTTTCATTCTTACTAGCCATGCTGATCTAATTTTTCTTTGCTCTAGTTTGATCAGTTGCAAGAAATATTAGTCTTACCTAGTTGAGAAATCCTTTCAAATAGGAAACTGCACTTTCAGAAGTGCATAAAAAAGGAGGAATAACAGCAGGCCCTCTGCAGTCACCCCTTACCTCCTTCCCTTTCAGAGAAGGGAATTTGCCATTTGGAGCAAGCAAAGTCTTTTTGTTGCCTGATTCTGAGTCCCAGTTGATCAGTATTTCCCAAAACACTGCTGTTTGAGAGTTGCATGTTAGGCATCTAGACATTCAACAATAACAGAATTCTTTCTGTTTTGGCAGAGCTTGTCTCAGTTTGGAAACTTTCAGCCTGAGTTTGATGTCACAGCAGTCAATGTGCCCATCCAAAAAAAATAATGCTAAATCAATAGAGGTACTTCAATTTCTGCTAAGGCAATAGACATGGCTGTGTTTCCAAAACTTCTGGTAGCCCACGGTAGCCCCAAGCAAGTGATACAGATTTCATTATGTCTATCTGCATATATAGATATAATATACATGCATATTTAAATTGATGGCTTCTATTCAGGATTAAATTTGTGTAACAGTCAGATCTCAAGTACTGGGAAGGCCAGTTGTCCTCTTTTCTGCCAGAAGCCTATAGAATCCCTGCTGACATTAAGGAAATAATAATAATAACCTAGTCCTTTTGGCTAACAGAAATCCTTCTGAGTATTAAATTGCCAAACATGAACCAGAATACTTTTGTGAGTGTCCAGTAAGAGAAGCTGAAACAATAACTGACAGGGTGTCTCTCCTATGTTAATTGTTAACTCAAAGGACTGCCCTAGGACATTGAAAATGCCCCTGCTGTTAACTGTTTATTGCAGAGGAAGGAGGGGGAGACATAATCCTCCCTCTTCAGATCCCAGAAAGCATGGATTGAAAAAAGAAAGCTAAGGTAACTCTTAATAAAATCCTAGCTAATACACATGACATTTGCATGACTCTACCCCCCTCACAAGAAAAATTACCAGTTTTTCACCTTGCATCTTCTTTCTCTTTGATCTCTAATAAAAATTAACATTGAAATAGTCTGTCTTTAAATTAATGATTTGCACATGAAATGTCATTTGCTAGAAACAGATTTTTAGGGTTAGTCTGTAACCTCTAATATAAAGCATTATTAAAAATCACCCCATATTATTACACGTTAAAAAATCCTAAGGATGTTTGCCCATTCAATGATTGCAACTTTACATGCTAGGAGATATTGAAGTGGCTCCATAATTACTGCAGGCTGCTCAAAAGGCTGTTTTCCTAACAGCCTGATGTTTCTTAGAAGTTACAGTATGACACATCAATCATGACACTTTTAAGTATAGCCAGCTTACGGAATCTGTGAATCCCACAGCTGCAAGGGCTTGGAGAAGCAATATGCAAAGTCATTTCAAAAAACTTGAGGGGAAAAGTTTCATTTAGACATTTTGATGCTTTTATCACCCTTTGAGCCTGCTTTTTTTAAATTGAATTAGCTTCCTATGAAATCAGTCAATACTTAAGTAAATGAACATCTACTTACTTACAAATGGTTACGAACAACAGGAAATCTATCCTGTATTTAAACAAAGTCAGGGGTGGTTTCTGTTCAGTTGTCTGTCACCTTCCTATTCATTCCTAAAATTTATTTACCCTTTTGACTAGTTGTGAGCCAAAGTTTGCATAGACCTGCCAGCAATTATTTCAAGGTCTCTTCCCTGAGCAGTAACAGCTAATGAGGAGTCTAGCACTGAACAACATGCAGAGGCAGCTGGTTTTCCTCCCTAAATAGATTATTTTGGGTTTATTAACATAAAATTCCATCTGCCACTTCATCTTTCAGTCATTAAGTGTTATGACCTTTTTCTGCCTGCAAAGGACTTTCCTGCTTGAATAAGCCTACCTTGCCCTTCATCTTCTCATAAATACACCAATATAGGCCCATGTACACAGACTAACCTAGTAAGGGTTTAGTGGAAAAATCCTCTTATTCTGCAGACTTAACTTTTTCTTTCTCATATCCTTGTCAGAAGGAAACCTTCCCACTTACTGAACAGTATCATAATTTTATAAGAGGAGTGGTGATGGCAGTGGGTTGTGTTTCTTGGAGAGATAGCACACAGTATCCAACCACCCTACGTTGACTTCTTTAGAAAAGTCAGTAGAAGAGTGGAGCAGGGCTACAAAACCACAGTGGCAATTTTTCATGATCCATATCCCTCTGCCTTGTCCCCTCATCTTCATTACTTAGCTTCTAACAGTCTGCCTGCCACAAAGTCAAAATCTAGGCTGGCAATACAAACAGCCACTTTGGTTAATAATTTGGCAATTTCATATTTGTGTCATTTAAATTCATAGGTAAGCAGCATTTGTCCTCAGAATTCCATAAAGATTGTGTAATACTCAGCCTACAACTGTTCTGCTTCAATTTTAACATATTTCCTTGCCCCATCTCCTGTAAAAAAAAAAAAAAGTTGTAGTAGCTCTACGTTCCTCCACACGGAATATCAGTATGACGCTATAACATTTCTTCCATATAACATTTCTGCCATCTTCTAATATGCTTGAAATAGAAGAGGTAATTTATTTGCTTTTATATCTTTTGCAATTTTCTTCAAAGTCTTTTTGGCGTACCTTACTATGGTTTGACATGCATCTTGTGAAAACGTGCTCTCTTTTGTATATTCCTTATTTGGAATGACTTCCACATACTAAGTCATGTCTTTTATTTCTTTTATTTTCTCCTAATCTGTTTAGAAATGAATTTTCACAGAGAAAATGCACACTACCGATCAAAAAGACCCTAATACCACCCCTTATACTTCATGGCACTTTAAGAAATTCAGCATTTTGGTGGGTTTAATTTTATTTGAAAGGGGCTTCCTCAGTTTTATCTAACAGCTCTATGGCTCTTTCACTCCCAAAAGAATGTTGAGCTTCAGTATATGGTGATTGCTACTGTAGAGTCTCTTTGATAGTTCTTTTTTAGGCCATGCCTGCCGCAGTAACTTGGACCTAAATTACAAGATGTTGCTCCTCTTATTTGTTCTTTGGCCATGTACTCTAAAATTTCATTCATGGTATCAAAAAAGAAAAAATACCCCACTACACTATCTATACAGGTTTTCATTATTAATGTGATTTTTCACTCTTAGCATATCACATTCATTGTTATTTGCCCAGCCACCAAGTGATCAATATTGTAATCACGTTATAATATTCCTTCTAATTGGAACCCACAGGCATAGTGGGACACAGTTTATTTAGCTTGTTTGAACCTGATTTTTAATGTATTGTGCCACTTCTCCACCAGCAAATCCATCCTGTTATACCTGTATGTTTTCTAGAGTAATATTATAGCTGCTTTAATTCCTTCTGCCTATTGGCATATTTACATTTATATAATTTCTAAGCATGCCCAGAACAAACAGGATGCTTCCAGAGTGCTGAATAAATTTAGGGCACTTCATGGCTGATGAGGGGTGGTGTGCCAGCTCTGCCAACATTCCATAAAAGTGAGAGAAGCCAGGTCTAGTCCTGCAGCCATCAGAGCAGCACCAGCTAGGATGATGCCAGGCCCTTCCCATCTGGAAAGGAACACAATTTCACAAGCAAAATCCCATGTTATCATCACTGACGTCATTCGGGAGATCCATTCTTGCTGCTTCCTGAACTGACAGTGTGAGAGGAGAAAGGATGAAGTCATTGGTTTTTGCAATTACAGCACGCCCCAAATCTGAGGTCAGGACCTGGATGGTTTAAAGAAAAGAGAGAGAGCTCTCCTCTCCTACCCTACAACCTAAGCAAAACCTCTCAACAGTGCAAACCAGCGTATTTTAATAATTTTTAACATGGCTGTTTTTCCTGAAGAGAGCCTACCTTTTCTCTTAAGAGTGAAATACAGTAAAAACCCCATATAATTTAACATGTACTATTCTTGTGAAGATACGACCCATTTTTAATAAGGCCTACTTGACGTGAAAGCCAAGAGGTATTGGTAACTTTAAAAGGAGAACAGGCCCCTTCTTTGTTAGTGCGTTTCTGTGGTACAACCCAGAAATTCAACAGAAACCACCATCTCCATTTGGACCAGCCTCCTGATCACACAGGCTGTAACTTCTGGTTGATTTACACTGCCTATCTTTTAGAAAGATGCCTGTATGTAAAGACTTCCTTATGGACAGTCCACTATTATACCTTAGCAATTTTCCAGTAATTACCCTCGCTTATTTTCCATTTGCTCCCAGACTAAATTTGATTAGCTTTGAATGTCCCGTGTTTAGATTTTGTCAACCCTCTTTGCTAAAGAACCCTTAAGTAAGCTTCTGCTCCAATACATACTTAAAAAATTAAGATCAAACCATCTCTAGTCTTTTTTTTTTTCTTTCTGGACAGACCAAGTAATGGTCCTCTCCTGCTGTTGCACTGAGGAAAAGAAGTGAGAAGCTAAAAGAACCAGAGCAGAATCAAAGTGGGAATGAAGATGAACAGTGATAACACCAGAGTTGGTTTTCTCTTGCCTCCCTGAGGCAAGTACTGTCCCAGTGTCCCGTGATGCTGTGAGATGTGGAACACAACCAAACCCTCCAGCCACTTCAGTAAGTCCTTCAGGTATTAAAGCCAAAAACAGCTCATGGGTGTGTCAACTTTATTAGCAATGATTCAAACGATCGCACAATAGAAGCTTTTTGCATGTCTCAGCAGAGGATTATTCAAAGACTTAAATCCAGATCAAAGACATGGACATCTTTGTTTTGCTATTAACTGTTTGGCTATTAATAATTGCTTATATGATTCCACAAGTGAATGGAACACAAATAGAATAGAATCCATTCTTTTAAAATGAACCACTATTTTAGTAAAACACCTGCAAAGCAGACATGCTTCTGCATTCAAGGAAACTAGTAAGGAACCAGGCAACTTCACAGAGCAGATTCTGGATATAAAAAAATCCCACAGGATCTCATTTCCCTCAGTCCCACAGCACTTGCACAGGTGAACTGACACCTCAATTCCACAGTCCATCTTTTGAATAAAAAAGGCATCTTTCATCTGCTGAAGCCACACACAAGCCAAGTAAATAGTAGACTTTTTTGAACCTATCTGTCAAGACAGTCCCATACCTCCTTCTTTGGGCTTTGAAAGGAAAGTAGTGACTTTGCAGCCTTCCTTACGCTACTCTGATCATCGTACAAGTAGCCTTATGAGACTTCAGTAAGTAATAAAGCAAATTCAAAAGCATACCTGGAAGGCCTGACTGGTGATTTTGGCTTACAATTTCAGATTGTAACTGGACAAACAAGCACAGTGATTTCACCTGTGTTTCTCTAACAGACATCATACATTCAATAGAGCATAACTAGATTCCAAGAGACCTTCTGCTGATGTCACTAGGACTTTTCTCAGAAGTAAGGACTAAATAGGAAAACAAGACTGACCCAAGGAGCAAAAGCTGTACATGAATTTAAATAGGAACTGATGACTATAAAATATGTAGACTTGAGGAAAGACAAAAAAAAGGAAAAAAGAAGGTGGTAGAATATGTTTGGAAGCATACACCAAATGACAGAAACGTACCACAATAAATGAAAGAAGCTTAAGCCTGTTACCAGTAGCAAAATAGAAAGTGTACTTTCTTTTCTACCAGTCATGCTATAGCAACCAATAAATCAAAGCAGATAAAATGTCATACAAGGTCTGCACTGATTTATTTCTTTGATTTGTTATGTTTTAGAAAATAGCCATCCACAAATAAACCCAAATCAAGTCTGCTGTTGCTCTTCATCAGCAGGAGGGCGGAATGTAAGATTGGGAGTTTTTCAGATGTTATTTCCCTGCAATGCCGGTGGTCTTAGGATCCTGCCCTCTTTAAACTCTTTGCGCAAGCCAGACCAGCATAACAGAGACTGGGAAGAATTAACACCATTACAATAGTAAGAGTCCAGAGCATTATTGGGTACACCTAAAGAAACGGATCATATTTCTAAGTTACGTTGAATAATAAGAATATTTCATGGCAATGTGTAGAATCAGTTTAAACAAAAAACACCAGTCACCATAAAGTTGTCCACAGACTGGATGAAAATGTAACACATAAGAACATGAAATTGAGCTAAGCAAAAAAAGCATAACCAGGACTTTTGAAAACCTTCTTTAAGACCAACATTTAATTTACAGAGCACAGAGATACTGCATTTATCTCTTAATTATCTGCTTATGAAAGCTTGATTCTGCCTGACTTCAGCATATGCAATTCCCACCACTAACAATGCAGAGCTGTGAGCATATACTGAAAGAACAGGCAGTATTGTAAATAAAATATTGATAGAAATGTTCAGCTTTCTAATCATTTTCCCCCTCAAGATACTAAGTTTTATGAAATTCTTTAATTGCCTATATTCATTCTTGGATATATGGCAGGTTTAGGGACTGTAAAAATATAAAACTAAGGAAATTAAACTCTTGAGCATAAACCATGTGTGCCAAGGTTGTAAGAATGATATAAAAGATAACCACTGTGTACAAGTGCCTTACAGTACCACCATAACTTTTGGGGCCGTCGCTTGCGTTCTAAGTGTGTACTTCTTTCTAGCAGCACATGCAAGTTATGCTGAAGCAGCACTGCTTGTTATGTGCACTATGTGACTCTAAAACATCTAAATTTGATGTCACACTCTGCATTCCTAGACCTAAAATGATGTGCACTGAAATACGGACGTGCCTTATTACTGCTGCATGCACTGATGTCTTGGAACAAAGATGAAAGAATATTGAAATTATGTTTCAAATTCCTGGTATCCTAAACTGTAACTTCCTTCTCCACATTGTACAGGTTTATGTTTTAGGCAGATGGGATTCTGGCTTTTCTATTTCAATTCATGCAAACTGCATATTTTCACAAGATTTATCTTAAGGTATTTGACAAGATTTGATAAAACATCAGTAATTTTATCTTATTAATTATTCACAAGTATTTTAATGACATTTCATTTAGGTGATCACTGATAGAAACTCATAACCTGACACTTCATTTTAGCAGTAGTACAAAATTAAGCACCAAATCATTAATAATAATTAATTAATAAAACTTACATCATACTTACGTTTTCAAAGGCTATTTAGAGGACATTCATATGGCCCCGACAGATAAGTTTGGTTTACTCATTTTGTTCAGAGGGCATCACTAATTCACCCAGGTTTGGGGTTAGGCCACTCAGAAATGTACTGGCAAGCCTTCTCAGAATTTTTCTTCTATCCTTATCTTACACAAACATCCTAATCATGTTATATTACCACTAAAAGCTAGACTATACTGAATTATTTTAAGCCCAACAAGCAAAAATAGGTGACAAACTACTCGTCAGGACATTCTTAAGTCCTCTCTAAATGTATGCCTGTTCTAAACAGATTTCCATAGTCAAACTGCTGATCATTTTTTATGCCTGTGGAAAGCTTCTGTCAATCCAGTGTATGGAGAGTCCAGACAACCAACATAAAACAGGAAACAGTGAACTCCACTGTGGAAGCTGGGAGAATAAAAATTGCATAAAGCCATACTGAATTGCCATCAGCCTAAAAACATTGCCAAATCTGGACTTGTATGCTACTTGCTCCAAATAAGGTAGTTTCTTCAAAAGGAAGGTTAAGCAGCAAATGCAGAAAGTTGACACAGGAATCCTCTGGTCTTACCACTACATCATCAGTGCCAGAGAAATGGTTTCACAACTGTCATGTCAGGAATATGAATGAATAATAGCTGTGCAGTCAGTAGAAGTGAAGCAAACCACAAAAGTGCCACATAAGAAGACGGATTCAGTGCAAAGCTTATATTTTCATCATTTTCACCAAAATATTTGGGCTCTTTGGAAGTTTCTTGGGTTTTGTTTCTTTTAAACCCATAAAAAAATGTGTACCTCTTAGAACTGCCTCCTCCTCTGATAATAAGAAACCTCAGACAACTTCAAATACACTATTCTAGTGATCACCTGCATCTAAGCAGGTACTACAACCTACTAATTAAATACACATATATATATATATATATACATATGCATATATGTAATGTAATTCTTACCATGTCCCCCCATCACCTTGTCTTTACCACTTCCTGGTCTAATCATTTCTTGATCAGTAACTACTCCAGTCCCACAGGGGATGGGACCACCTTTGAGCTTTTCATTCTGTCAGTGTTTACAGCACAGAAAATGCACTAGTAATAATAGTAACATTTCATTAAGATCATCTTCTATACTCCTAGACCACCCTGAGGGGAAAAATACTACAAATATTGAAATTCAGCATCAGACAAATGACATGCTTGCTTGTTCACATGCAAAGGTTCACTGGCTCTCTAAAGAAAATGCATCTGACAGAGGTCCTAAGCATCAGCAGGATCACCACAAACACACCAGTTTGACAAAGTCCTCATAGAAGACAGGGAAGTAAAAAGCTCCTGTTCTGCTTTGTCCTTCTCCTCCCTGCTCTTCTTGACACCTCAGGCTTATTTTTTTCTGGATTAGACTTGGTGAGGCACAGCAAATCTTGCTGAGCTGCCCTGCTTGTTGAAGCCTCATGATTCTTTGGTGAGCTCTTAAGAGATCTCACCCTGGGTTCGAGGTCTCCCGGGCAGCTCACTACTGCCAGTTCTCCAGACAGGCTGCTAGGGCCAGGAGAACAGACCACACAGGCTGCTGTGAGCACTGCCACAGCAAATGTCGCCACTCTTGCAGCACACTGGATTCCCACGCCTGGGGAGTTGCTGGTCGCTTTTCATCCTTAGACCCTACCTCTGCAAAACATTTGTGCATAAGGAAGCACATGCTTAATGCACACTGCTATGCTGCAAAACAACACGTTAAAGACTTTTTCAATCAGAGACTTACTTGGAAGCAGGTTAAAGTTTCAAGCTTTTTTTATTATTTTTTTTTTTTGTGGAAAGATTAAAATTCAGAAAACAGAGAAAACACCACAAGGAAAAAAAAATCCATAAAAATACACACAAAGACCCTTTTTGTCCAAACAGAGTATTGCAGTAATTATTTCAATAGTGATTTAAATACTTCACTAGACATTGGGAACTGGTGTGAGTAGGCAGTTGGTCCAGTCAAGCTTGTCCACCTAAATTAAGCTTTAATTTGGGAAAAATTTGGCCATTGGGATACAGACCCTAAAAAGCCCTGGTTATACTGCAGGCTCAAAATAAATTAGTTCTTCATCTGTCCCAAGTACTCCTTGAACACCTTGGGTGAGCTGAAGGCAAGACTATTTGGTTTTTATTCCTGGCATTTATAAGAGGAGACAAAAATCAAAATACTGATGTTACGTAACAATTTATGGTTTTACTTATCAAAGACTTAAAAGTACCTTATATTTGCTATATGAGGCCTTTCATTCTTATATATTTGTCTTATCATACACCACACATCATTTCACAGCTACAACAGCACATGGAATCCACAAATATCATAAACCATTGCTCTTTGTCTGCAAACTGATGTGTGCCAACTACAGCGTATAAGATAATGAAACACTTCACATATTATTGGCAAAGAATATGAGCTGTTAAGTATGGGACCTCACAGTCTTACAGTCAAACACCTGGCAAGGTTCAAATGAATTCCACAGGTTTGGTAAAAGCTCATTTTTCGTCACTTATTCCGTGTCTACTCAGAGACATTTTGGTTGTATAAAAGTCAAATATTTATAGTCCAGTGGCTGGGGAGGAGCATCTTTCCCATCAGCCTCCCCAAATGAAAAGCAACCCAAAAAAGCAACATGTAACATTCTGCCAAAGTAAGCCTTCCTTGGACTCTGAAAAGATTTGGCAAGAACAGAATTCCACCACCAGCATTTTCTCTCCTGTTTTTGCCCACTCACTGAACCTAACCTGGATCAGCAGAACATCATGAAAAAGGTCTTTCTAAACACCTTCTGTTCAAAGCAAAACAGGAAGCTCTAAGTGAACCTGCTCATCTCTTTCCCTCTTCAGCCTCAGGAGTTCAGGAGACAGCCTGGATGGGTCTCTGAGAACTTAAAGATGACTTCCAGAATATTCAGCCAAACAAATCCCAAATTTCAAAAGTGTTGAAGCCTAAGCACCTGTATGAGCATTTCTTCAATGAAGCTTTTTCTCTAACTTCAGAATGAATGCTACAAGGCTCCTTCATATATATGGACAGCCTGCAATACGGACAGCCTGCTTTGCAGGAGCAAGTGGTTTGAAATACCCATTTGACTTTAGAAATTCTGGTGAGTGCTCAACACAGGTTTTATTTGCCAAATGCATACTAACCTATGTGAAAAGCATTCATTTTCCAAACCAAGCATTTCCAAGTCTATGGTATATTTTGCTACACAGGTATGCTCACTCATAGCCTGCTGTCACCTTGAAAGCAGCACACATACCCACGCTGACAGGAAAAACTTCAGAGAGATCTCAGCTCAACTGCCATTACAGTAGCTTGTAATGCTGTCCTGGGAATCCGCTTTTCATAGTTTTATGATTTTAAGACATAACCTTGTACAGCGTAACACACCCTGTCAATGCTAATATCACAAAATCTCTTAGAGATGGGACACTAATGGATAGGAGATGCACAGAAGAACTGAATGGATCCATAGCGATCCAATGAACTCAATGATCCTGTCTAATCTACTTGAGCTCTGTAGGAGGATAATATCCAGCACACTCATGGGAGTTATTTAAAAGCCTAGTGAGAGACTGAATACATACAGCTGAGAAGGATCCAGTCCAAAACCAGAGAAGTAGAGCAAGAGTAAAAGCATTCAGAACCTCCTGCATCTAGGACATTGGAAAAGACATGCGATAACCAAAGTTATTGCCATCTGACAGCTGTTCGGTAGCCTACACAAAATGAAACACTGGTTTCAGTGCAGTTGGTAGACAGATGTTTACATTATAGATGGGACTACATGGAAAGCTCAGCAAGCAGAGAAGCCAAGCAGTTTTGCTAGGCTAACACACAAGCGATAACGGAAGACAGCATCCAGTACTGCTCACCCCCACTTGCTGTTCATGGGGTCAGCCCAGGTCACAGCCAAGAAGCTGTGCAGGAAGTGCTTACGCTTCTGCTATCTGCTCTGTTGGCAAATACAGGAGTCCAGACAACACAGTATTTCATAGACACTAAATTAGCAATTGTAAGCAATTTTTAAGTAATACAACCCTCTTTTAAAAAGAAAAGAAAAAAAAAGATCAAACCAAGAAAACAGTTACACATGACAACTGCTTTAGCCCCCCAACAATTTTATATTGCAATCTGGCTTTGAAACATGAACAATCCCAAAATCTCAGTGGCCTTGGCCTCCTTAAGAGCCAGTCTTGTGGACTAACCGTTCCTGACTTTTCCATGGATGAATGAACACAGGCAGCTGGCTGCTACAGCATGGGGCTGTGTTCTTTGGATGATTTTGTTCCCAAAACCCATGCATGCATCCAATGCATCCATTCTTTTAAGAAGTATACTCTATGAGGGAAAACTGAAACACAGAAGATTCAAAAGGGCAACACAGTCAACAGCGGCTATTGAAATTCAACATCCAAACTACGTGGCCTAATCCATTTGAGGGCCACTTGCTGTCAATTTGTCTTAAAGAAGGATCATTCAAGCACACCTCCAAGCAACGG